CTAAAAAATCAAAATCGACAAATGTCTTTTTTTTAAAAACGCACTGTAAGCTTCGCTAGCTACTTGTACGTGGTGAAAGTCCATTTTTTCTTCAGACTTTTCCCGTTGGTCTCTTTCCCTCAAACCACTTAACATCTTATGACTTGGGGCTCCCCGCGTGCTAGTTTGTACGTGAAGTGTGTGGGTTACAGTGAGGGCTGCGTCCCACCCGCCTGTGTGGATTAACAGGAAGTTTGCGTTACAAAGTCTGAACAAAATGTTGAACGGTCTCTGCTGGGATGACGACTACACCATAACTCAGTGGTTAGAGCTTCGCTAGCTACAAGCGAGGGTGCCTGGTTCGAGTCCTGGTGGTGACAGTCAATTTTTTCTTCAGACTTTTCCCGTTTGTGTCTTTCTCTCAAACTAGTGAAGATAGATTAAAAGTGGGCATTGACTTATTTTGCCCAATTTCTCTTTTCGGTACACGGCAATTTGCTACCCTTGATGATATTTCAAAGAGTGATAAATGTTACAAAAAGATAATGGCAAACCCCCACAACTAGGCTCTCTGCTTGGAACGCTGGGGCGAGAAAGATTTTGCAAAATAAGGCAAGGGGAGCACTTGCGTGTGAGGATACATAGTATTATTATGCTTGGCCGCAAGGCCTAGCGGGTTTGTGCTCGGACATTTGGGTGTTTGGTGGCAGGTGTACGCATATGCGTTAATTTTATATACAAGCTACACCGCTTTCTCTCACGGAAGGAATTTTTCAACAGGAGGAGGAATTATTCGTTGCTGGGAAATTTATTTTTTTGTTATTATTATTTTTTTAATTTCGCCCAGTCGGCTACTATCATTTCGTCTTGGGGGCTAGACAAGGGGAAGTAGCCATGTAGGGGCGTTAGCCCGCCTTTCGGCACCGGGAGTTGCAGCTCGCTCGACTTGACTCTACTGAGTGCAGAGGACCCACACCTTGATCTGGTGAGCTGCGTCGCGGGGCTTTTGCAGTGAGATGTGCGACTGCGAATATTTAGAGTCTTCCTCAAGTCGAAAACACTCGACACTATACCTCCGTTCGGAACTCTTCTTCAAACAATCCGTGAGCATGGTAAACTCTGCTCCGTTATTCGTTAGGCATAATAAATATTAAAATTAATGGAGGTGGCGACCTGGACGATCAATTTTATAACAAAGTTGCAACCACACTTGGACTCGCTATTTTCCCGCTTAGATATTCTGACATTATACTGTAACAAGCGAACCCTCTCCCACACGCAATGTGACGTGATCTGTGCGAGTTAGTTGCCTAGGGTGACAACAAGGACTAGTGAAAAAAAGAAAACCAAAATACTCACCAAAAGAGGGTGTGAACCAGCCAACGAGGCATAGAAAATTTTACGCGCAAACCGACCACAGGGAACTTGAGCTTTTGTACGCCAAAGGCCTGCATTGCTGTGAATAATTAACCAGTACAGCTACTCGAACTAGACAACAGCACGTTGAGTGTGAATAGACAAAGGTGGCAGGGGGATGAAAGTATGGTTGAAAATAGTACTCGCCATACACCAGATGTTAAGTGAAGCCGAGATCAGTGTAATTGAAGGAACCGTACAAGCGTACATCGAACTGCGTTCAGCATACCACAATTTCGTATCCTCAAACCAATTAGGCGACATTTCAAAGCCCTCAGCCATGACTAGATAGCTTTGATGGCATCACACATGACAATTGATGGTGTCAAGCATCTGTTTCGGGGGTTTGGTGTTTCACAACATCAAGAATAATCAGCATGCTTTACTGCGAGCATTTGGCCTTTGGCTATCATTTCCTGCTGGTCTACAGCTTTGCCGCACCCTGCTACTCCAAGCAAAATAGAGGCTTGATATGCACTTATTCTGTTCGTTGCCGGGGCCTGAAAACTAATTCCCTCTGCTCAAGCATCCCCGTAGTGTAAATGCCGAATGGAAACTTCGGTACTGTGCACTTTCAGCACACCTTCCAGATTTTGATTCTGATCTTGATTGTGGATCAACTCGATCACATCCGTCGATTTGCTATGTCACGCGGGGTCGGCGCACGGCCAGTTTCAGGACGCAAAAATATCGTGCTTCGATCGCACTAATCGCGATTTGTTCAATATTTTTTTGCACTTCTGCAGAGCTTTGCTGCTAGTGAAATTCGAGTCTTTCAGGGACGAAAATGGTTGTTGTTTGGAGTGACAAGGGTTGTCAGCTCAAATTTCTTGTCAGACTTGCTAGAGGTGACCACGCTTCAGTGTTCGGCGTGCTGTTGTTTGGAGCGGTGCCTGGTGTTGGAGCTTGAGGAGGCGCTTTCCGTCGTCGGGTAGGAAATTGGCAATGTTGCAATGTGGTCAAGTGAAAATATTCAAATTTGTTTATTTCCAGAAAACGTGGAACACGTTTTACGAGACATGTCCCGGGTGGTAGTGAAGACAGTCCACTCACTGTCCTGCAGCGCATGGTTCAGAAAAATAGACGCCGTAAATGGTTTCAGCTGTGGTCCTTGAAATTTGGCTATTTTAGCGATGCAATTTAGTGATATTTGGAGATGATGGCCATTGCTTTCCTTGATGTAGCCATGGCTCTATGTGGTGGTGGTGGTGTGAAGACTACTCAGGTGAGGCAGTGAAGGTGGTTTGTTCTCAGCTCAATCCTGTACGCTGTACCAGCGCTCGTGTTTGCACCCAGTATTCAGTCGTATTTTGGGACCATTTCGAGGTGGTCCCCAGTTCCAAGGTGTCCGTAAGTTATGCAACGAGCCCTCCTGCATGGTTGTTGTAGACCCCAAAGGAAACCTACTTGCAAAACTGGAGCGAAATCGGAGAGATGACCTGACCCAGCTTTTCTGGTTTTCTCAGACGTGCTCTCTTAGGTTTAGAGATGCATCCAGCCTCCCATGTGCAATGGTCCCCCAATACTGAGCCAATTTAGCTTATATCGGAAGACATTAATGTAGAATTTTTTACCTAGTTGTATGACAAAGTATCATAATGTTTCCAAAACAGTAAGTTTTGGCTATGGTGTGGGGTTGTGCATGCCAAAATTTGTAGTAATATAGCTATTCATACCGAAATCTTTGAAATTTTAAGTCCCCATATGGGAACAATGAAAAGTTGAGAACACGGCTACCAAAATATAACCAATCTTGGAAGGTTTGTAGAAACCTCCGATTTTCATATCTACCGCCTGAAGAGACATCGTGGTACCTTACCAGGATGCATTGGCGTCGTTTCCACGTAATCTAGGCCAAATATAATCACCATGGAGATCACCATGGCAACCTGCTGTGTTTGAAATAAATTGTAAGGATACCAATACACTGAACATGTGGTAACTTCGGGAACAAAAATTGACAGTTTTCCCAGTCATTCATCATTTCTAACCCAAAAGGATGTGCATAAATTTGTCACAAATACCACTCTCACTGCAGGGCCAGAAGAATAAAACAATCAGAGAAATGAAAACCCGGCGAGAATGGAGGGATTCGAACTGACACAATCCGTTATTCAAATTCGATTTGATTCATAGTTGTCAAAGTCGATTATCGCAGACCTCAGGAGTGGCCGGGGAGCCTTAGCCTGAAGTACATCAAAGGACTCCAACTGAGCAGACGTGATCCTAAGGGATCAGACTGGAATGGCATACTCAATTGCCGGATGAACGTAAGTGTTATACAGGAGAGCAGCAATGTGTGATGATGGTAAATGTAAGCCCATGAAGCATAACAGATTAACACGTTGCTGGAACTTCCTGAAGGTGGTTTGGAAGTGGTCGTAGAACTTGAAACCATCACTGAGCTCTACACCGAGATGCTTAGCTGGGAGCCCAGATCAGATTAAAACCTTGTCCATGGGCATAGAGAAAGGTTCAGGAATGTTGTAATTTAACGAGACGAAGGTTTTTCAGGATGTTTCTCTCAGCAGCTTCAAAGCTGACGTGGTACTTTATACCCTCCCATCCCTCTGATGTTAGTGGCAGAGTAAGCGGTTATTTACTCTTGTTAGCAGTTAGTCCTCAGTTTTAGGAGTGTCTTTCTAGTCGGGATACAAACTGTCATTCGCTGGCATTGCTAGTTTTGATAACGCTTCGCGCTTCATTGAGATATCTATCATTCTCTATCCTTTCTCGTTATTTTCTCCCGAACTATCCTTCACTGTAACATAACGACATATTCCGTGCCTTGTCATTGAGCATATCTGCTCCTTTGAATTTCTGGATTCAAAGAGAGTATGCTATCAAACAAGAAGCAGCCGAAGCCTTACGTTCGCCTTACTAATCCAGTAAGTAAGTCAAAGACGAAGGTCGACGTACAGCTATGGCTATGAAATAGAGACTAAACCAATACATTCTTAATAATTCAGTTCTGACGATGGGTGACTGGCGCGAAACGTCAATAGTGTTTCCACATCACTAATGAAAAGAATTTTTATCCAGCGCATGCACCAAGAGTGAATAGCAACTTAATAGAGCCAGTTGACAAACCCCCTTTAATTTAAAACAAATACAGCGCTGAAATTGGTGAGGCTTTTTTTATCGCTACCCTCCTATTGCCCATGCGATTTGCACCAGTATCGTCATGCAGTCTGATGATTAACAGAGGGTTATACAGCTCCGAGTTTCAACTCAATTCAGACCAGTTTAGGCATATAGCTGAATGTGTTGGAGTTTCAATGCAATACCATAAATTATACATGTACAAATATATAGGGGGAAGTAGTCCCGTCCACCGGAAAGAGGGCTCAACAGTGCTGGGATGCACTGGAGCTAGTACACAATGGAAGCGGTCCTCACCAAGAAAACAAAATCTGTTGCTACTCCGAATTTCTTGAGAAAAAATCATCAGGCATCTTATCTGTTAGAAATATCTGTTACATGTTGCCTGATTATTGACAACTCAAGAAACTCGAAGTAGCAACAGGTTACGTTTTCTTGGTGAGGACCGATTCCATTGCGTACAAGTATAATTATTATGAGAATGGTTTGTTACTACAGCTTACCGCATTCGACACCGGCATCTTCCGAATGTGCGCAATTGTGCATGCCCGCTCGATTGCCTTGACATCCGAACAAGTCTCTTTCTTGCCCAGTACATTCTAAATCGTCCAGCAATATAGGGCCTCGACCACCTCCATAGCGCGGGATAGCGCTGGTTGCCCTTGCATGCCTATTCAGATGAAAGTCGATACAACACAAAACGGGTCTTGGAATTCACGCAGAACGAGTAACAATAGGTGCTGAATTCATAGCCCTCATAGTGCTAAACCTAGCCTTGGTATACATTGAACCAGAGTAAAAGTTAGTTTCTTGTGCACAGGTGCATGATTTTGCTAACGGAGTGAATGATTGTAAGCGATCTAGGAGCGTTTAGCATTCCCTAAGCGCCCTCAATTTCAATCTGTTTTCGGTCCAATGCTGAACATGTCAATGACAAGTCTTGAAATCGAATACAGCTCCTCGTTCCTTAGTGACTTTGCCGTTCAAGCTTATTAGTATTTTACTGCATAATTATTGTCCGCCGAGTGTTTTGCATGGTATTTCGGTAAGATGGCAATGCACATTATGTATCATGGTGACCAAGGCAAAGTATTGCACTACTTGTTTGGGGTGTGAGAGTTGTTCGGTCGGGTGCAACCGCCTCCAAGACTACATGCCATGCTTCAGGATCAATTTTCGGAATCTGATTCATAAGGTATTCTTCAGAAGAGCAGCACACTGAGTTAACTAGCCGCTTTCCCTGATTATTAGTAGGTCTGTGTTTGCCAGTAAAAAAATAAAAAAAAATAAAAAAATAGCGACCAGACACACGTCATACCGTACGTGTAGGTTTCTTTTGGCATAATAAATAAGATATCATGTCCGTCGCCCTTCGGCGTCAATTCTCGTGCTCTCGGGAAGTATCCATTTGTGAACTTACATTAGAACAATATCCATTCGCACAAACATTATTAT